GGGGTGAACAAAATTCTCACTAGCCCATAAGCTCAAGATGGTGCTTGTAACTTATTTCATGTTAGACAGTTATTCTAAAAAAAAACAGTTATTAAAAGATATGTTTAGCGAGGTTACTCAGCTGATGCAGATTTGATCTTTTTACTTCATTTTATGTTGCTATAGCAACCTGTTGAAGGTCACATAGTTGGCTGTGCCACTACATCGCGCTTGCTGGTATCGACAATGAATCGTAGGGTGTCAGAGCTTTTCGACGAAAAAAATATTTAATCAAAAATTTGATGCGTCGAAATGGAAAATATCGCCAAATTACTTCTGGGATCATTTGATCCGTAAATGATTAGGGCTACAGTTAGTGTTGAGAAAAAAGGTGAAGTTTACTTACATCACCGCCGGTTGTCTTCTTGTAGAGGCTGCGAATAGCGTTAACGTTGGAGAGACTGGTACCCTAAGAAAGGTTTAATTCAAAACATGATTAAAACAGTTTATAAACTGATACAAGCAACATCAAAAAAATAGAGATACAAACTTAATGTTTTTTCTGACGTAAATATTGTTGTGTTATCACAAAAATAATTTACTACTCTGATAAAACTAGCAGCTTCAAGGAAAATAAATCCTGTTCATAAAATTCGGCCACCGCACTTAACAGTTCGTTGCTTGCTTTGATGTTTTCATCCAAATATAACTTTGATTATGACCTCATCTGAACAAACTCTGAACAAAAAAGCCTAAGTGAAAAACGAACTCCCGCAGAATTTTCATCTTAGCTGTACGATAGTAACTCGATTCTCGCCTCAATCACAGTCTCAATGAAAGCCATTGTAACAAGGGCAAGGTGTATCGACTTAGACGCCACTTCAACAGATGTTCAAAGTCTTTATGTAAATCTTGCTTGGAAGGTTTACATACGCAAGTAACTGATATGACCAAGTAGACCAACTTAAATTCCTTAAGAATGGAAAATGCGCGAACATCACAACTGCTGCAAAAGGTCATACTTTACGAGAAAAGCTCCTTTGTTGCTGAACGTAAAACGTTCACACTCTTTTTTTGCGAAATTCCACGTATTATTGTTATTATTTTTTTACCCTTTTAGTCGCTTTGTAGTCAGTAAAAAGACTTCGGCAAATCTAATTAAATTGCCTTTTTATGTTTTAGCCCCATTCGCTTTGAGGAGAGTTAGATGTAGCTAAATCATTCGAAAGACCTGGTGCATTTATTAGCGGGAAAATTTTTGCCGGCCAATTGCCAATTGCCTCATCACTCACCTGAAACTGGTTTCCAACTCGTCCTTAATGATCTTTGAGATCATCTGGATTCCCTTGTTCCCATGATAAAATTTTGAAAACTATACAAATTGCAAAAGTGTGATCTCACCGATAAATTGCGGTCGTTTCGCCGGAAAGTCAGTTCGCCGGAGTACAGTTCGCCAGGACTGATACTCGGTTCGCCTGGGCTGTTAGCTCCGTGCTCAGTGGATTAAAGAACGAGAAATAGGCATGCTTTGAGTTAATTTCGTTTCATTACGCCAACAATATTGTCTTTTAGGCTCGTTTAGTTTAAAGCTAAGAAAGAAAAGTTGACCCATCCTTTTTTGAACCTTCAGTTCGGGCGAAGGGACTTTCAGTCCGGGCGTACTGGCTATCGGGCGAAACGACCGGGTACCTCAAAATCCACAAAAAACCAGCCCTAAAAATAACCTCTGCAAAATGTTTATCGTTAATGACTCACCGCGGTTATAGTTTCAATGAAAGCCAATACGACGAGGGCTGTGAGGATCTCCTTAGACTCCATTCCCTAGCTGTTCAGTGTCTCTGTATAAATCGTTCCTCTTCAGTTCCTTATGAAGTGTTTGTCATGAGAAGAAAACCCTGCATGGTCTTTAATACACTCAGGTAAAAACCAATATCCTTGCTACGTAAACGGTATGTGTGTGGAAAGCGTAACAGCTGCCCTAGACCAATAAAAGATGTTAAACTATATTGACAGACTTTTGACGGGCAGTCTAAGCGACACAGTCAGATGTTTTGGTATTGCACATAAAGTTTCAAAACTGAAAAAAAACGCTATCAACACCTACAGAACGAAATGGTTTGAACAAAAATAAGCAATTCGTAAAATCCAACGAGGCTTTCTTCGCATCAAATAGGTACTGTTGTCCTTCTAAATACAAAACACAAATATGTAACTTTTGCGACATCCATAGTCTAAGTATAAATGCCTGTTAGGCAAACAAAGCTGAGAAAACAACCCTAACAGCCCTCTTAAGCCTTGCCTATACGAGCAATTTTTATGTGACAATTTTTGTGTGACAATTTTTCTATGACAATTTTTATGTGACAATTTTTATTTGCTCGTGTATATGAGGAAAACTGGCCAGTTTTTATTTGACAAATACGTTTGCTGAAAAGCTGGCGTGTTAGCTTTTATGCGACAAATAAAAGTTGTCGCATACGAAAAATTGCTCGAGTACACGACTCGTCACATAGAATGTGGCAAATATGTTCGTAAGCACCAAGTTTTTCGGAGGCCGTAAGCAGCCCCGCCTTGTTTCAGCGTATCGATGCGTCCAAAGTCGTCATTCGCACCCTTAATTTTGAACTGTTGACAAATTTTTGCTGTGTCATCTTAGACAGGCAATCTAAGCGACACAGTGAGATGTTTTGGTATCGTCTATAAAGATTCAAAACTGAAAAAAACGCTATCAACACTTACAGAATGAAATGGTTTGAACAGAAATAAGCAATTCGTAAAACCCAACATAGCTTTCTTCGCATCAGATGAGGACTGTTGTCCCTCTAAATACAGAACACAAATATGTAATTTTTGCGACATTCATAGTCTGAGTGTTAATGCCTGTTAGGTAAACAAAGCTGAGAAAACAACCCTAACACTATGTGTTCAGCCCTCTTAAGCCTCGCCTACACAAGCAACTTTTATATGACAATTTTTATGTGACAATTTTTATATGACAAATTTTGTTTGCTCGTGTAGATGAGGAAAACTGGCCAGTTTTTATTTGACAAATATATTTGCTGAAAAACTGGCGTGCTAGCTTTCATGTGACAAATAAAAGTTGTCGCATACGAAAACTTGCTCGTGTAAACGACTCGTCATATAAAATGTGGCAAATATGTTCGTAAGCGCCAAGTTTTTCGGAGGCCGTAAGCAGCCCCGCCTTGTTTCAGCGTATCTGTACGTCCAAAGTCATTATTGGCAGACTTAATTTTGAACTGCTGACAAATTTTTGCTGTGCCATCTTAGACAGGCAATCTAAGCGACACGATTCAAAGCTGAAAAAAACGCTATCAACATTTACAGAACGTAATGGTTTGAACAGAAATAAGCAATTCGTAAAACCCAACATAGCTTTCTTCGCATCAGATGAGGACTGCTGTCCCTCTAAATACAGAACACAAATATGTAATTTTTGCGACATTCATAGTCTAAGTATGAATGGCTGTTAGGTAAACAAAGCTGAGGAACCAACCCTAGCACTATGTATTCAGCCCTCTTAAGCCTCGCCTACACGAGAAATCTTTATGTCACAGTTTTTATGTGACAATTTTTATGTGACAGTTTTTATGTGACAATTTTTATTTGCTCGTGTAGATGAGGAAAATTGGCCAGTTTTTATTTGACAAATATATTTGCTGAAAAACTGGTTTTTGAAAAACTTCTGAATCAAAATCTGTAACTTAATTCCGAGCCTGCAAATTTACACTTGGGTGGGACACTTTTTTGTCTTTTTTAGCGATTCTGTTACTGTTAAAAATGTTTCGAAGTCTCATTAAATCGCTGTTTTTATTTTGACGACAGAATCGTCTTTAGGCAGAAAAGGTAGGCCTCGTTACCTTTTTTTTGAATGTCTTCATAAATTGAGTCAATGGTACAATACTGGTGAAGATTATGGTAAAGGAGGGGCCTGGCGCCACATTGAGGTGTGGTAAATAATCCTCTGCCTTCTGGGTGGCCCCCTCTTTTCTTCTCATAGATCGCTTCTTTTTCCGGATTTTCTTCATTTTATGAAAGAACAAATAATTCTGAGAAGCTGC